GTGATTGTTTCCTCTGGTATTGGATGTTGTGCAGCTGGAAGAATATTTTTTGGACATTTGTTATGAAGCATAACCATATCAACAAGGTGTTTGTTGTGTTTTTTTTTTTTTTTTTTACAACCGGGAGCAGCTGATTAACATCTCAAAAGCTCAAATAATATCTCAACTAAAGACCCAAATCTCAAATGAATTGAAAAGGAGGTGCCGTGGATTCATTCCCGTCTCCCTGCCGGCTGTGCTAAAGTGCCTGACCACTGAAATCCTGGAACTGGCAGGAAACACGGCTCGTGATAGCAGAAGGATCGGGATTGTCCCCCGGCCGGCCGGCTGCAGCGACGAGGAGCTCGGCAGGCTGCTGGAAGGAGTGGCCATCACTCTGGGAGGAATTCAGCCTGGCATTCGGGTAGTCCTCCAGCTCGGGTGAACCAAGAGTCCAGCCAAGTCTGGTTGGACAGCTTGGACGGCATCAACGGCCAGTGTCTTTGGATCCAATATGGGGTGGACCTTCCTGCCTACAGCCATCGGTATCTATAACATCTCTTAATGAAATGAGGATAACAAGTTACAACATTTAATTTCCCTTAGGGATTAATAAAGTATTTTTTAATTGAATTGAATTATATCTTGTGTGAATCATTGTGTATGTTCCCTTGTACTGAAACTATGGTACAACAATTTCCTGTGTGATCAATAACTTTTTCATTTTATCTTATATTATCTTATATTTTGTACTTTTCAAATGAGTGGTTTTATATGTTGGTTGATTTTATTGATTATGTTGTTCTGTTTATGTCAAACAAGTTTATCTTGCAAATAAGACAACTGTGTCTCAATGGGACTACCCTGAAAAAATTAAGGAGCTTAAATGGATTTATGAGCATGACTATTCCAGCAAGGCTAAACGACAAAAGCCAAATATTACTAGTTAAAGGTCAAAATCAGGTCAGTCACAAAAAAAGAAAAGATGTGAGTTCTGCATACAGAAGAAGAATAAAATGAAGAATAAACATCACCAACAAAAACAAGGCAGCAGACGTCCAAGCAAACCTGAGCTGAGCAGCTATGTGCAGAAATATAAACATGGGTCATATTGAGTCTGCCTCCATTACACATGCGTCTGGACAAGGCTTGTCAAGCTTTACCTCTGCAGATGGGCCGGTCATCACTCCAGCCTACATAGCTGTCCGTCACTCTGAGGCAAGTGATGCTCTTTGAACCCTGCAGTTCATAGCCCTCATCACAGGAGAAATGCACAGTCGCTCCTCGCCTGCGGTTCAATTGTACAGAGAAGAAGAAAAAACAAGGTGAAATAAGAGAACCATGAGAATATATGTGAACTAAAACAAAACAAAAAAACAAGCATATATACTTCCTAGCTGTGATTTCCAGAACTGTCAAATTGCTGGATATAGATGACACCCATTTGTCTGGGTTACATGTGGCCACTGAAACAGACAGTGGCTTTGACAGGAAACAACATTCCATAATCCCAATGGTAATATCAGCACCTCACAGAAGCAGCCCATTACTGTGCAATGGACAAAATTGCAGTGGACCTGTAACTGTTCAAGCAAACATATTTCTGTTTTTAGTTTGGTTGCAAGAGCTTGGCATTGAGTAATGGCTTATCTGCAGAAAGACATTTTAAAATGCAGTCACCAATTTTAGGATAGTACTTTGTAGCAGCTTCATTGGCTCATTGTTGGTCAAAAACACAAATGGACATTGTTAGGTCATAATTAAGACTGGGATACAATTTGGACAGGTAAATGAACGTGTTTTTTAAAATTAAACTTATTTTACACTAATCAACTATAATATAAAAGTTTCAAGTTTAACCTGCTGTTTTGGTCAGACCCAATCAACCAGCACTCTCTTTAAGAAACCTTTTAAGAACTCCTTACTCGCACACTGGCTCATGAATAAACCATCATCCATGCCTTTAAATAGGCTATTAAAATAAATCAATCTTGTTCATTGCTTTATTGTTGCATACTTGTACATAATAGTGGAAGTTATCTAAATATAAATGGCTAATAGGATGTGTGTTATCTAAAAAACAAGCATCCTCTATGAAGGCTGAAAAAAAAATGAACGTTTGCTATTTGAAACTATTGACTACTATACAGTTTATTTTCTATTGTTCAGAAATTTCAAAATATTTAATGGAAATTATTATTTAATTTTAGCAGCACAGTGGTGCCGTTCGTAGAGCTGCCGCCTCTCAACAAGAAGGTCTCAGGATCAAATCCCGGCCAGAGTCCATTCTGGGTGGAGTTTGCATGTTCTTCCCATGCATGTGTGGGTTTTCTCCGGATACTCCGGGGTCCGCAGGCTGAGCCTCCCAGTGCCACCTAGACTGATTGGTAACTCTAAACTGTCTCTAGGTGTGAGTGAGAGCGTGAATGGTTGTTTGTCTCGTTTGTCTCCATGTGTCCCTGTGATGGACTGGAGACCTGTTCAGGGTGTACCCCCTCCTCCCGTACAGGGGTGGATGGATGGATGGATGGATGGATGGATGGATGGATGGATGGATGGATGGATGGATGGATGGATGGATGGATGGATGGATGAATGGATGGATGGATGGATGGATGGATGGATGGATGGATGGATGGATGGATGGATGGGTGGATGGATGGATGGATGGATGGATGGATGGATGGATGGATGGATGGA